GCTTGAGAGGATAAGTTTCACCCCTCAAGGACAAATGACGGAAATATTCCGTCATGATTCCCTTTTATTTCTGAAGTTGTGTCCTTAGGGGGTTAAAAGGTTGCTCTAAATTATTATTGGCATTTATATATTGACAACTTATTCCGCAGCACATTAAAATATCATAAGGTGGGAAACTTTAACAATAAATGAGACAATTACAAAATGTTACAGGAATAACAGGTTAATGAGGACCTTTGTTAAAAGACTATACAATTTAGCACCAGACCAGCTTGTCATTATTGCAAAATTTATGGTACACCCTGCACTCTCTTTTGGTTCTCAAAGTGGCAGTGATTTGTTAAAAGAACGGTGTCTGCACCATAACGTCCTCAAAATAAAGTTGTTATGGTGCTTAGAGGTCCCTTGCAAATTCTTAACTGAAGGGTTTACATTCTCAAACAATTTAAGCCCAAAGGTGTCTCTCCAGCTTTGGATCTTCCTGTCTCCGGTGGCATCCGATTTCTCCAATGCCGTTTGGAGAGTGCAGGGGTACTGCTAATTTTGCTTTAGATACTGAAGTCCGCTTCCTTGGCTCCGGCAAAATAAGTGCTGTTATCACTTCTTCCATCAAGGTGAAAATACTCTCTCTTCCTTCCTTTAAAGCATTGCCATGTGCATGCACTGTGCCTGATTCTCAATACTGTGACTCGGACTGTGTAAACTGATGGTAGTCTTAAGTATGGCTGCTATTCAAGTACAGAGTTGTACCACTCATCCCGCTACTGCCCCAAGCTGCAGTTCCAGAGATCAGAAGACGAGTTTTCTTGATTGGTGGAAATTCTTCCTGGTTTGCGAGGGGCCTGCCTGAATGTGTATTTAGGAGAGGAGTATTTATAATCTTTATATTGTAATGCTTTTAAAATAAGCAGGGGTTAGGTTTGACCATAGACATATTTCAGGTTTTGTAATCTGTATTTTGATTTAAAAAAATAAAAACAGAGAATCTAAGTGAGTGACCAGCAGCAACCGCAGATGCAACATTTGACAATAACCTACATAGCACTAAAACTGCCTTTTCCCCAGTCATAGAAAATGATGACAATGATACATGTTTAAAGTGATACATTGATGGAATACAGAATTCATTTGGCATCGTTATGAGACTGACTTGGCCTGTTTTTTAAGGAAATATTTCTCTACAAATCTGCTGTAAGAAGGCTAATTGCTGCATATTTACTGTCCTGGGCTAATATCTGTCACCGCTCCCTCACTTACTCTCTAGTTAATGCAACATTTGAAATAATCAAAATGAAATACACGTCCTTTTGCTGGCTGTTATGTTGTGGAAATGTTGATGTATGGGAGGCATGAATAATCTATCTTGTCGGGAGTTTCTCGATAAGTACAAATATGCTTTGTTACCACCAATGAATAGTATGGGCAGAGCGTCCTGCAGGCAAATTCTGCTTTATTCCAAATACTTTTCAGCCACACTGCGTACAATACGTACTAATTACCTTAGTGCTATAAAATGATGGATGGCTTGAAGCTTGAATATCTTCGAGTGCGTCATCACTGTTTCTTAATGTTGGTTAAATTCCACGCATGCCTTCTAACACGTCTCTGTCCGTGAAGCTCTTTTGTAGAAAACCAACCTTGTACCAGAATCTTACAGGAGTTCTGGTAAAAAAGACTGAAAAAAGAAGAAAAGTAATCTCCAACTAGGGAGATGCTGGTAACAATACGTGAAAAACACAATTGGAATGATGACAATTGTCTCTGAATTGGTTATGGTAGGTATATACACGAGGGAAAATTAAAAACAATTGTTCCAATTATCATCACATGTGCCCTTTAAACAAGAAATGTTCATAAATAGCTATATTAGTCCTTCAACGGTACCTTTTGAAGTTGCTATACCTCTTTCCCCATTTGGTTGCATGCATGATCGGTAAATATTTTCATTGACTCTCTATTTTGTTGATGGAATTAATACACTCTCACTGTATTTAACCTGTTATAAACCAATAGTACACCTTGTCTGCTTAATATATAGTCCCTTTGTCAGCATAGGTTGTCCTGCTTATCTGGATCTGGCAGCTCAGTATAGCCATACTATGGTTAAATCGTCACACTATTCCATTTGTAGTATAGTATCTCATAGAATAGATTATGAAGGCACTTAAGGGGTTAAAGCACCATTCTCTCTTTGGTAGATTCTGTGATGTGCCAAACATAAATCTCAATCCATGATTGGATGCGAAACCTTTATTTAGCTCATCCAATTGCAAGACAATTACTTCCCAAGGATTATGTTTCATTATAGAATTAAAGCTTTAAATCATTGGAGGGGACAGTCCGTTTTCTTTTCTCCATTGTTTTACGCTAAAGCCAGTGGCTCTGTTTTAGGACCCAATTACCAGCAGTAGGAAGAAGTGCTTACTGGCAAGACAGCAGGTAATCACTGACCTTGTGTCCATATAGTGCATGAAGTAGTGGTGGGCTTAACACAGTATGGCCGTATGGTGGAACTGCATCCCCATGTTGGTTTGCTGAGATAGGTGATTTTAAAGAAAATGTATCTTATATGTACACTGTGTATTACATATATTGCATGAAGTTAGATCAAGAATCTGCACAGTTTAGACGAGCGATTACTAGTACATGTCGCCCTACATGAGCTGTAGGCTGCTGGTCTTCAACCAACAATAAAAAGTGATTTTTTATTTTTTTTATTTTTACTTTTTAATTTTTTTTTACTTTTTTAAATTTTTTTTATGCCTGTTAAGCAAATCAAATGTTACTAGAGATATTAGGCTACAGGGAGTGCAGAATTATTAGGCAAATGAGTATTTTGACCACATCATTCTCTTTATGCATGTTGTCTTACTCCAAGCTGTATAGGCTCGAAAGCCTACTACCAATTAAGCATATTAGGTGATGTGCATCTCTGTAATGAGAAGGGGTGTGGTCTAATGACATCAACACCCTATATCAGGTGTGCATAATTATTAGGCAACTTCCTTTCCTTTGGCAAAATGTGTCAAAAGAAGGACTTGACAGGCTCAGAAAAGTCAAAAATAGTGAGATATCTTGCAGAGGGATGCAGCACTCTTAAAATTGCAAAGCTTCTGAAGCGTGATCATCGAACAATCAAGCGTTTCATTCAAAATAGTCAACAGGGTCGCAAGAAGCGTGTGGAAAAACCAAGGCGCAAAATAACTGCCCATGAACTGAGAAAAGTCAAGCGTGCAGCTGCCACGATGCCACTTGCCACCAGTTTGGCCATATTTCAGAGCTGCAACATCACTGGAGTGCCCAAAAGCACAAGGTGTGCAATACTCAGAGACATGGCCAAGGTAAGAAAGGCTGAAAGACGACCACCACTGAACAAGACACACAAGCTGAAACGTCAAGACTGGGCCAAGAAATATCTCAAGACTGATTTTTCTAAGGTTTTATGGACTGATGAAATGAGAGTGAGTCTTGATGGGCCAGATGGATGGGCCCGTGGCTGGATTGGTAAAGGGCAGAGAGCTCCAGTCCGACTCAGACGCCAGCAAGGTGGAGGTGGAGTACTGGTTTGGGCTGGTATCATCAAAGATGAGCTTGTGGGGCCTTTTCGGGTTGAGGATGGAGTCAAGCTCAACTCCCAGTCCTACTGCCAGTTCCTGGAAGACACCTTCTTCAAGCAGTGGTACAGGAAGAAGTCTGCATCCTTCAAGAAAAACATGATTTTCATGCAGGACAATGCTCCATCACACGCGTCCAAGTACTCCACAGCGTGGCTGGCAAGAAAGGGTATAAAAGAAGAAAATCTAATGACATGGCCTCCTTGTTCACCTGATCTGAACCCCATTGAGAACCTGTGGTCCATCATCAAATGTGAGATTTACAAGGAGGGAAAACAGTACACCTCTCTGAACAGTGTCTGGGAGGCTGTGGTTGCTGCTGCACGCAATGTTGATGGTGAACAGATCAAAACACTGACAGAATCCATGGATGGCAGGCTTTTGAGTGTCCTTGCAAAGAAAGGTGGCTATATTGGTCACTGATTTGTTTTTGTTTTGTTTTTGAATGTCAGAAATGTATATTTGTGAATGTTGAGATGTTATATTGGTTTCACTGGTAATAATAAATAATTGAAATGGGTATATATTTGTTTTTTGTTAAGTTGCCTAATAATTATGCACAGTAATAGTCACCTGCACACACAGATATCCCCCTAACATAGCTATAACTAAAAACAAACTAAAAACTACTTCCAAAAATATTCAGCTTTGATATTAATGAGTTTTTTGGGTTCATTGAGAACATGGTTGTTGTTCAATAATAAAATTAATCCTCAAAAATACAACTTGCCTAATAATTCTGCACTCCCTGTAATATTATATTCAACCGCAGAGCATCATAAAGAATGTAGTGCACCGCAAATATATTTTATTTTATTTATTTATAAGACATACAAAAGACAAAATATTCTACAATTCTGTACAATGTGATCACCTAACTCACTGCACATTGGTAATATCCCAAACATTCTCAATAAAAATATTGTTACAAACATTTCACATTGTTCTCACTGGCATTTTTGTTTTTATAACATTTATGAAACTTATTTGAAGCTATTCTTCCTATGAAACAGTATGATTTTTTTTTTATTTTCTTTTTATATACTGTTGTACTCATTATTTGTGCTGTTCTCTCTACGGATTAACACCCTAGTACATTTTATTTGTTGCACATACGATCAGAAAGATCCTTTAAAGAAAATACCTCTATTTATATCAAATGTAATGCACTATGACGCCTATAATAATTGGTGAGAAAAACTAGTGTGCTTTTAGCAGATCAATTTGCCAGCAAGATATTTCCAGAGAAAAAAAAAACAAAAAAACAACAAAATGTGATTGGCAATGAACACAGGGGACTCATTTATTCATTTTGTATAAATCTGGTAACCTATGCATACTTTTATGAATCACGTTGTTTTAATAAATATAAAGTGTTTTTATTTAAAATGACACACCATGGCTGATGTTGGCCTCATGTTGTAATTTATTTATTGATAACCTATGAAACGTTATCAAACGAAATACCTTTTGAAATTTCTGCTTTTAGTGTAAATCCACAGGTTGTTTGACTTCTACAAATCCCGAGTCTTCCTATGTTCAGAATGGGAGTAGTGAATATAATATGTAAAGCCTTGCCTTGTTATGGCTAGTATGATATGTAGCTCAGGACTATCGTAATCAATAGAACGCAAAGGCATGTTGACAATTGAGTATTTTTATTTTCGCTTGTTAGAGGTTTACGTAGTCTCTGTATTGCATGTTAGATATCATATATTATATACCACAATTATAAATCTATTGATGAAGAGAAAAACAAGAATACAAATGTAAATACTAGAGTATAAGACGAGTTTTTAGGCACATTTTTTTATACTCGAGTCACTGTCTGTATTATGGCATCTTACATTGCCATAATACAGACCAGGACTGCCGGGCTCATTATTGTTGGGGGCTGGCAGAGAGCTGTAACTTACATTTCCTGCAGCTCCTGTCCGTTCAGTTAATCGCCGTGCCGGTCAGCTCCACTATAAGTCTTGCGAGAGCCGCGGGGTCAGAGCGTTGCCATGGGTTACCGTGGCAACGCTCCGCGCCGCTCTCGCGAGACTTACAGTGCACACTCTGCATCACATACACACACTGTATTCATACACACACACTGCACTCATACACACACACACTGCATTCATTAAATACACACACTGTAAATAAATATTCAATTAATATAATTTTTTGGGGATCTAATTTTATTTAGAAATTTACCAGTAGCTGCTGCATTTCCCACCCTAGTCTTATACTCGAGTCAATACGCTTTCCCAGTTTTTTGGGGTAAAATTAGGGATCTCGACTTATATTCGGGTCGATTTATACTCGAGTATATATGGTAATTTCTCCCATCCGCAATATAATCATGTTCCAGATATGGAAATTGACTAGCAATTTATTTGCATATAGTGGTTCACACCCAACAAGCCTAACTCACTGCTTTTTCTTGATCTACATGCTTTCTTCTTGTAAAAATGCTTCTATTCATAGATTGGTAATAATGATGCACAAAACCATCGCTTGTAAGCCAAGGCAGATGGGGTATTTAATCCTGGATTCTTATGTGATAATCATGATTTTTGTCAATTGTCTATAAACCTCCTAATATGATGAAGTAGTGGGACCAGTATGTTTAAGAACCAACCTGACATTTCATTTTTTTTTTTTCTAATGATGGATTGTAAGCAAGCAATGTTCAAGTGCCAGGCGTCTCTTGAAACAAAATCACGTTCAATGTAGCCACAAACTCCATCTTATAGTACTTTTACGGATCTCAAATCATCAGCATAAGCTAATACAGGTTTAATATATATATATATATATTCCTTTATTCTAAATCCATTTAAACTTTCATCAGCATGCGGTCTGCAGTGTTTATGCATTGACAACATAAAAAATTCAGCTCACTTTTAAAGTTTAACTATTATCTCAAATTAGATTTAGTATATTGCTGTTTTAATCAAGACTGCTTTATAAAAAATTCATGTGTGCTCCCCGGGATTCTATGGAATCTTAAATTCCTCGCTTCTACGAGCAGAGAATCACTTGCCATAATGATAGGTAGTGGCATCTCGTCTCCTATTGGCTTTTTCCCTTAATTGCTTCTCCATCCGATCCTCTACTGGGTCATTAACGGGGCCAATTCATTCTAGTTCAGTATCATTTACTTATATTTCTTTACTTGACGAGAACATTTTTTTTTTTTTTAATGTTCAATCTTTTGAGAAACCAGTCCATGACCTCCTTGCTGTTCTCCTGTAAGCAGGAGACAGTGGCTTATATGTGGGACCATGGAACTTGACTAAATAAATCAATATACATGCCTGAGATACCCCAAGGGCTGATTTAAGTACACACTGACACCCCAATTCCAATTTAACCTTTTTTTGTCAGGAAGCCAAATGATGATTCGGTGGTAAAATCATCCATGTGAACTGTTCTTCAATTACAACGTAATAAGTACTAAACAAAATATGTTAAGCACCATAGTTCTCAATAGGTCTCCATCTGTGCTTTGATTTGTGGGCAGTTGCTTATGATGCATAGAACGGGTCTGTTCTGAAATGACATTGGGACCAAATTCTGAGTTTTGAACCAAAGGTTAATTAGGGCTCAGCGTTTTCACTCTGCTTTAGCCCTGGGAAAGTGAAAATTCAGTCATGGTAAAGTAGACATTCATCCCTGGATTGTGTGCCATAGATCCTTCAGATATGCTGTGACAAGCAACTTTTAGTCCTCTAGCACCTTGCATATACAGCATCCTATTATCTATTCTATACCTGATAATGGTTCTACTGTCTACTAAATCCTGTTGCAACTTCCAGATTGTATAAAAAATTCACCTCCTGCCCATGTTGGTCAGTGATACCATCATCCAAACGAATGAACTTCGGTACGCTGTACTTATGTATTGTGGACAATTAAGTTGTCCCGTAAAGCCTTCGCTGCGCTCACGCGTGTACGGACATTTACGGAGACATTCCATGTGTACTGCATTGTTTCCCCAGCAGTGCGATACGTGCGTGTGTGCCGTGTGGCACTGCTGGGGAAACTGGTTAAAATTCTAATGAACTTTAAAAAACAAAAAACCTCTTTTTATAATAGTGAAGTGGAAACCCAATTTTGCTCTCAAGTTGTGTTTATTTTCATTTATATGGATGTTTAGCTTTGGGAATTATTGTATACCCATGCAGAAAAGACACTTCTATGGTTTAGTTCGAGTTTATTATCTTCAGCTATGCAATGTATTGTTTGTACATTTTTGTGTGTTTCTGTATATTGTGTACACTCAGTACTGCATGATAATGTAGCCGCTTTATAAATACATGATGGTAATGACCAGTCATTTTCGCACCCGCTCCTCGTAACATTACCGGCTTAATCCTCAAATGAGCCTGATTTTTGGCTTTAATTGTGATAAAATATATACATAAGTAATGTGTGCCTGTGTGCGGAGGAAAAGGAGATAATTATTGATACAGTCCTGAGATCATAGCATGTATTGTAGATAATGGAATTACAGCGTTTTCAGTTCTTAAAGGATCAGTGAAAGGAAGTGATAACTGTGACGCACATGAAAGCCCCAGCATTAAGCCTTTCAGATAGGATTCTTGATTACAGCAAAACGCTCCGGATTTCTCCTTTTACACTTTAAAATGAGTCGTGCGTATTGCTGTTTCATGCTTCCTGTGTGGTTGGACCAAAAAAAATAAATTATCTGAATACCCCCATTGGAGTCCATGGCCCTCAAAATTATATCCTGAGAAACATAGCTAGCAGTTGTTGGGTTTTAATCCCTTTGTCCTGGGGTGCAGCACGGCAGTTGATGGATTCACATGTGCGCAGATAAGATAATAATCATCCCCTATGTGTGTCCACTTAAATAGTAACTAACATCGGATATAATGCAACATTTTAATAACCAAACATTATTGATTTCCCCTCTCACAAAAAAGCCCTGTTTTGTGTTTCATGTTAATGATACACATGGCATAAGGGGAAGATTTGTGATGTGCGTGGACCAGGCCCGGACTGGCCATCGGGCACAGCGGGCAAATGCCCGGTGGGCCGCGGTGGCCATGGGCCAAGGCCGGCAGGGGAGGTCCCAGGATCTCCCCTGCACTCTCCTAGCGCTGGCCCCGCTGTTTGCCACGACGGGCCGGTGGGGAGATCAAAGCTCTCCCTCACCGGCCCAAATGCGGCCACCGGCGGGGAGAGAGGGAGGGAGACAGCCGCCATGAGAGAGGACCCGGCGGAGCTCTAACTTGCAGCTCCGCCGGGTTCCTCTCGCGAGATCCGGCGCGTTGCCATGGCAATGACCGGATCTCGCGAGAGTGAACTCTAGCCTCACAGGCTAGAGTTCACTCACCCACGAGGACCACCAGGGAACCCCGCCACCCCGTCCCAGTCCCAGCGTGCCCCCCCCCCTCCCAGGCTAAAGGTAAGAAGGGAGGGGGGAATAATGGCTGTTTTTGTTTATTTACCCCCCCCACACACACAATAACATTTATACAGCACTCTAACACCCATCACACTCTCAGCACTCTCACACCCATCACACAGAGCACTTTCACACACAGCACTCTCTCACACACACAGCACTCTCACACCCATCACACACAGCACTCTCACACCCATCACACACAGCACTCTCACACCCATCACACACAGCACTCTCTCACACACACGGCACTCTCACACACCCCGCACCCCTCACACACACACATACTGCACCCCTTACATACACACAGAACCCCCCCCAACACACTGCACCACACACATACACAATACTTCCAAATATATATATACACACACTACACTCTTAAAGGACCATTCTAGGCACCCAGACCACTTCAGCTTAATGAAGTGGTCTGGGTGCCAGGTCCTTCTAGGGTTAACCCATTGTTTTATAAACATAGCAGTTTCAGAGAAATGTTTATCAATGGGTTAAGCCTTCCTCCAAAGCCTCTAGAGGCTGTCTCATTGACAGCCGCTAGAGGCGCTTGCGTGCTTTTCACTGTGAAAATCACAGTGAGAACACGCAAGTGTCCATAGGAAAGCATTATAAATGCTTTCCTATGCGACCGGCTGAATGCGGGCGCGTGCGCATTCAGCCGAAGGGGCGGATAGGAGGAGGAGAGCTCCCCGCCCTCTCTGGAAAAAGGTAAGTTTTAACCCCTTTCCAGAGCCGGGTGGGGGCACCCTCAGGGCACTATAGTGCCAGGAAAATGAGTATGTTTTCCTGGCACTATAGTGGTCCTTTAACATACACACTCTGGATCCCCTATACACACACTAGATTCCTTATAAGCAAACACATACTACACCCCTAAACACACACACACACACACACACACTATAGCCTGTATGCACACACTTGCTATATCCCCAATACACACATTCTCTACAGCCCATAGCCACATATGCATCACATTACACCACAAACACAACACGACTAAAACCGACCTTATTACACAATACCACACCACGACCAGCTCACTCTACACACACGCAATACCACAAGCAGGCTCCAAACACATGCACAATACTCTGGCGTGGACTATGTTTAAAAAAATTGCTCTGTTAGGAGAGATGCTCAGTCATAGCGAGGAAGAAAGGCATTAATCTGTATTCCAGCTGGGGTTTTTTTTTTGCAAGACATACATACGACAAAATAATCCTTATTTTTGTTTCTGAAATTTAATTGAAATTTTAACACAATATACTGGTCATTTTTCTTAAAGATTTACCCTATCTGAAAAACTGAAGTAACATCTCCATTTTAATCTGTTGACACAGTTTCACATTTTATGCCAAAATAGCCAAGTGAAAACATAACTGGCTTGGGCTACTTGCTCTTATATTTGAAATTTATATTGAATCCCTGATAATTCTCATTTTAGTAAATAAACGTAATAGTGTCTCCATGACACCCACAAGCTTCACCTAAAAAAGGTGAATAGACTCTTGCGCTATGAACCCAGTTTCACAAACAGTTGCAGCTGGCCTAAGTTTGGCTGTACATCATGCTCAACAAATCCATCATCACTGACCAATGGTTCTGAGAGGTGCAACGAAAATAGTTTTTTTTGTTCTCCTACAGTTTATTTATTTGTTCACTATCTCACCTACCTTAAAGGAACACTATAGTCACCCAGACCACTTCATCTGGGATTGAGTCTGGTTACAGTGTCCTTATCCTTTTTACCTTGCAATGTAGAACAATGCAGTTTTTGATAAACAACAGTGTTTACATTGGAGGGTTAAGTCCGCCTCTAGTGGTTATTACAGGTGGTTCCCCTACACAGACTAAAACTTGCCGCATACGAAAACATGATCTAGTGCTTTCAAAAGGAGATGCTTGAATCCACACGCAGTGCTTGCCGCGCATACCTTTTTGGTCCCCAGTGCTCCCCAATGACAAGCACTGGATTGGCCATATCTCCTTTGTGATGTCATGGGAAGTGAAGTACCTTGGTGCTGGAAAAAGGTGAGTAAATCCTTTTATTTTTTTCAAAATTTAAATGCCCCAAGGGGTCGGTGAGGTGGGACCTAAATAAGAGTAAGCAAAGAGAAGCAATTTGTATTCCTAACATTATAGTGTTCCTTTAATTGGGCACATCGGTGTTACCAGGACAGTTTTTTGGCAACGTTACCTTCTTGCCATATATCATTTTAACTCTTTACATTTTTTTTTTTTTTTTTAAAGATTAAAAATACAACAGACTGTTAGAAAAAAAAAAATAAAAAAAAAAAATCACCCTGTCACAACACCATCAGTTTAAGGTGTGATTAGGGAGGGGAAGAAATCTAATTACGCTGTGAATGGCTGTGCCTATTCCAATTCTCCCTTCCTTTATCTGACTGTACAATGCTGTCCCTTTAAACTTGATGGAGCTGAGAGGAAGTAATTGAAGCTATGAAATAACTTGCAATTAGCTCTTTAATTAAGGGCAAGCTGTTAATGAGGGTGCTGTGTGAGCTTTTTCCTACCAATCCCAGATCTCTGGGAAAAAGTAGAACCTTTGTCACTGATGAATAATGGCTGTTAACCTTGCAATTCCTCTGAGCAATTGCGTCCACATCCCCAGTGTAGCAGTGACCAGACTGTTAACTCTTTGACACTTGTATCTTCCAACTCTACTGTATCTGCAAAAATATCCCAGAGGTGAAGCAGCCAGGAAGCATAGAAAACCTATGACTTGTCCACTCGAGTTTCTATTTTCCACCTTTTCCGTAGCGGCAATATTGCAGTTGTTCAGAACAGTTTATACATTAACTGAAATCCATAATGTGAACTAGTTTATGAGGTTATTTTATCTCCTAAAATTATGGTGTGAATATTTCACGTAAATGGGTTAGTTTTGCATTTGATCACCTGCAGGCTTCCCCTCTGTGATTCAGTGAAAACAATTGGTTTTAGATTGTAAGCTCTTCACCTACTGTTCTAACGTGCTTTGTTAGATAATTGTCTTGATTTACCTATTGTACAGCGCTGCAGAATACGGTATGTTGGTGCAATTTAAATAATTGTAATTATAGGACCAGAATTGGCTGATGATTCTGGGCCACTCTCTATGGTCCTTCCAGAAGCTGCAATGGTATCTCTTGGAGTCCAAGATGGGGTGCAGGGTGTCAAAATCAGGGTTCACTAATAACTACCAGTACCACAATGATGATTTGCCCACCCTGTGTCTGTCTATTTTGGCATTATTCTGTGATTTCCTGCAGTATTTCCTGTGTCAGTCAATGTATGGCAAAAGATGAGCTCGGAGTGCCGTCCATTCCAGATAATCCCAATAATGTAGCAGATTTTATCTGCTGAGAGTCGTGTCTAATTCCTATAGCACAAACATTGTATGCCAGCGATGCTGGATTCCGGCATTACCATGGAAACCTTTGGGGGAGGTGGGGATTACAGTTTGTCCGTACTTTCCTTCGGACTATCTTTCCTGCCCCCACATCTTGTATATCTCAACTTTGGTCTTAAACAGCATTAGATCTATTGTTTCCCTCCCTGGTCTATTGCAGCTGGAGAGGTGGGGTATTATTTTGTTCTTTCTTGGTGGGGTTTTTAAATTGGATCTTGTTGTTTACATACACATTTTCCCACTAAGCAGCTCACTTATAGGAGGTCTTGGGATCAGCAAGCAGCGTCTCGTTTGTAACGCAGCTCTATATCAGTGTTCTGCCTCCTTTCCTGACCCAGTTCCAGAAGGTAGGGGGCTGTGGTCCACGCTTACAGCCAACCTACGCTTTGGAAAAGCCATCAGCGTTGTAATCAAGCTGTGTGATAGAGGTGACACCTTGGTGTCATCGTGCATGGGTAGCGGGATCCTCTGAGGTTGACAAGCAGGATATTATTTATATGTCTGTAAACAGACTGGTAGAAGCACTGCTTATTTGTAATCCAGTGGCAGTGATACAGCAGAATGAATGTCACGGGGGTTTCTGAGGCCATTAACCCTTTCATTCAGAGAGAGAACAGACCCACCCCATGGAGGTCTAATTTACACAATTTGGGTATGCAATTTGGAAAGACTTGGAGGATTATATGCTAGGTTTCCAGTTACGAATCATAGAGGCCTATAGACGTGGTTTGTTTGTTTGTTTTTTACAGGAACATTAAAGACATTCCAAGCAGAAATGACTCCTGGTGTCAGTAAATATATAAATAAATCATAAGCACTGCCATAGCAAGTTATACAAGCCTTTTAATTGTCTGAGCCACTTCCTGGTCTGGTCAGCACTCACTGCAGAAAATGCCAGGCCGTCAGGCTTGCTTCAAACGAATACACCAATTGAAATTGGTCTATAGCGGCCCCTTTCATTTGACCTTTCCATAATACCATTGGGAGGCTGAGTTAGTAATTTATTGATTATTTATTGTTCATCAATCATTTGCTATTTTAAGCAGAGATGTTTCATGAAGGCATTTTCTACCTAAACCTCACTGCTCAATTCTACATTGCATTTCAGTGTGTGTACAGCTCTGGTACCCTTACTTGTTAAATATTGGAAACACGGCCACCGCTGGCCAGCTTTCAGTATAATTTGCTCAGGATATTCTGCAGTGTGCAGTGGTCATGGCTGCCCAGTCTGCCTGCAGACTGATGTTCGTGAGCGCAGTTCTGTGTTTAGCTCGCAGCGTGCGACTGTTTATCAACAGATGGTATTAAGTCCCTATGAACAAAGAGAAGGGAGGAGGAGAGAGGCTCTGTGTTCATCCCAAATTTGCCCATCTGTTTCCACTTTATACGTTACATACCTTATCACCTGCAGGATGCTTACAGGAACACGGAGCTGTGTATATGTGCAAATAATCAATTTCTTTGGCTTATAACCTGCTAAAGGAAATTTTCGGTAGCAAAGAGTGAACAAGTATTGTATTCCTTTGATTTTAGTTAACAAATTTTCCTAAAATGAAACTCACGGCAACAGTTGGCCATTTTTTAAATAAAGACAATGCAATAAAATATATAGGACAGCGTCAGACCTGAATATTGCTCATTTTTATTCCAGATATTATACAAAATTTCTTCACCTTGTATCTATATAATATATTGTTTATTATTGGATGACTATTGTACCTTTTTTTTTTTTCCCAGTTTTTTTTTTACGTTATATATTTTATTGTTTTTAAAAATTATCGCTAATCTTTAATTAAAAAAAAAAGTATTTGACAAAAATATATGCAAAATCACTTAAGTTAAATAAATACAAAGCAAAAACCTATTCAAAGTTGATGTTTCTGGATTTTGTTTAGAACCCCATGCGTTGTGGCTTCTTCAGCAATCTCCCCTCACCATGAATTAAGTCAGCCAGTTATAATTCCTGGCTACATCGGCGTTTTAAAGGACCACTCTAGGCACCCAGACCACTTCAGCTTAATGAAGTGGTCTGGGTGCCAGGTCCAGCTAGGGTTAACCCATTTTTTAATAAACAGAGAAACTGCTATGTTTATGAATGGGTTAAGCCTTCCCCCTAATCCTCTAGTGGCTGTCTCATTGACAGCCACTAGAGGCGCTTGCGTGCTTCTCACTGTGATTTTCACAGTGAGAGCACGCCAGCGTCCATAGGAAAGCATTGTCAATGCTTTCCTATGCGACCGGCTGAATGCGCGCGCAGCCAGCCGACGGGGCGGAACGGAGGAGGAGAGAAGGAGGAGAGCTCCCCGCTCAGCGCAGGAAAAAGGTAAATTTAAACCCCTTTCTCCCTTCCAGAGCCGGGCGGGAGGGGGTCCCTGAGGGTGGGGGCACCCTCAGGGCACTATAGTGCCAGGAAAACGAGTATTTTTTCCTGGCACTATAGTGGTCCTTTAAGGGAATCATAAGGGGTTTCTGTTAGTTGCATTTTAGTTGCCTGCTTTCTACTGTGTCTATGCGGTGTCTCGAGTTTGTACAAGTACTTGTACAACCAGAGGGAAGCATATCTTCCACCTATAACATATTTTAGTGAGCTATTTGGCTCTAATCGTCAGATTGTGCAGGGAGATCAGAATAGGATAGGATGTCCCATATCAAAGATCAGGAACTAAAGCTATGGTGCCTGCGGCTCTGGCCCCTAATATACTGCATTAGCATTTCCGTTCTACATTAGCCATACCAATTCTTACCAGCAGTGGGAGGCAGTGATTGCCTAAGAATCCTTAGCTAAAACACAGCCTGTTGCTGCCACCCATTATTAATCTGGCTAATGGGGAAGCGTTAATCTGATTAGCATAGAGGGGCTGCGCTGCAGTTAAATGGGGACCCTCATTCAGTGTTAAACTGGTGAAGAATGATTTAGGTTTGATCTGTGGAACAGTGCTAGTGGACTCCAGGCACCATTATCATTATTAAACATTATTAAGTGGTTATGTTGTCTAGAGTATTCCTTTAAATTCACTTTGAACATGAGTTGGAAGAATTAGAGTGTTGATTTTATTGTCATTTATTGGTTTCTGCGGATCTGGATTCTTCAAAATATGCAAAAATACACTTTAGAAGGAGAAGGAGCTTACTCTTTTACATATGTGAAATACTGAACTCTGTTGTGTATGTCTGAATGCCAGAAGCACCTGTGAATGGTAAATGGAAGCTCCTGAATCTGGGCCGGGGGTAAATCCTGGCTTTGTATATGCTATTCTCAGATGGTCCACCTTCATTGTTTATAGAGATACAGATAGTCAATAAGTAGCTCCCCGGATGTATTAAACTACAACAAAAATCTGCTTCCTTTTTTTTTCTTTCTTACCTATATTGTTTGGAATATCATTCCTACCATCAGAACTATGGATTTATTAAAGACACCTGCTTCTATTGCGGTACTGAGTGCCTGTTCCTGACCTGCTAGGATTCATGCCTCTGTGATGTCTTTCAGTCCTGCATTTTCCAACCACTGTTTTGTTGGTAATGTGAGCCACATTCACGAACTGCCAATGTTACAGCCCATGGAGTGGTTTGTCTTGCTAAGTAACATCCTCCTTTTCAGCATCCTCTATCTACTGTGTTCTCAGGCATTCCCTTAGCAGTTCAAGTTTGGGAGCCATCTTTGTGACGGTAGCCATCTAATGTGAGCCTGTGGCCTTGACACTCAACAGGCACTGACATGCTTTCTTCCAGCTGGTGTACAGTCTCTGTGTGCTGGATTTTGCGTGGAATCCTCCGTTCATATTAGTTTTTGGGCTTTAACATCGATGATGACCAACTCTCTTCTTTTGGTCAGGTTATTATTCCAGTTGGGTACCTGATGACTGGTAGAACATATGTGTTAATTGTTTGCATCTTGTTCTCCCATTTTGCTGGGACTTCAGGACCTGTCTGACTCTCTGGGTGTTTCTCTCTTCCTTGCCTCTTTGTCATGGTTCCCATGTGTTTGTGGTACCCTGTAGGAAGTGTAGCTGTTCTCTACGTTGCCTATTTGATCTTCTGGTATTTGAGGTCATTCTGTCCTGATCGTCTTCCCTCGTTTTTCTTTTTTACTTTTTCTATCATCCATTCAGTTATCCAGTCCGATCAACTTTACAGTGTCCTTGCTGTATATGTTGGTTAAGTGGATCAGTGAGTTAATGTCCTGCTCATTCTTGGCATACACCTTGATGTCCTGTAGAGTAGATAGCTGATGATAGTTCCACTCTTGGACTTGTATCCATATCCACTCTTTATGATGGTCTGGTTTAGAGGATAAAGGAATATGCAGAACAGCATTGGGGATAGTCTATCCACTTGTTATATGCCATATTTGATTGTCAGTGTCCCGAAGTTGGCTTCTGGAGTTGTCTTACACTTGACCATCGAGTTGATGAAGGCTGTTAGTGTCTCTCTGACCTTCTATAGAGCCAAGCATTCCAGCATCCATGTATGTGACATTTATGTCCTAGGCTTTCTTGTAGTAAATTCTGGATTTGCACAGATTGGTCTATGGATTGGTCTGTGCTAGATGAAGGTCTCTTTTTCGTCAAAATCTATCTAACCTGTCTATTCTATCCTGTCCTGTCTGTCTATTCTATCCTTTCCCGTCTGTCTATTCTATCCTGTCCTGTCTGTCTATTCTATCCTGTCCTGTCTGTCTATTCTATCCTGTCCTGTCTGTCTATCCTATCCTGTCCTGTCTGTCTATCCTATCCTGTCCTGTCTGTCTATCCTATCCTGTCCTGTCTGTCTATCCTATCCTATCCTGTCCTGTCTATCCTATCCTATCCTGTCCTGTCCTGTCTGTCTATCCTATCCTGTCCTGTCTGTCTATCCTATCCTGTCCTGTCTGTCTATCCTATCCTGTCCTGTCCTGTCTGTCTATCCTATCCTGTCCTGTCTGTCTATTCTATCCTATCCTGTCCTGTCTGTCTATTCTGTCCTGTCCTGTCTGTCTATCCTGTCCTGTCCTGTCTGTCTCTCCTATCCTGTCCTGTCTGTCTATCCTATCCTGTCCTGTCTGTCTATCCTATCCTATCCTGTCCTGTCTATCCTATCCTATCCTATCCTGTCCTGTCTGTCTATCCTATCCTGTCCTGTCTGTCTATCCTATCCTGTCCTGTCTGTCTATCCTATCCTGTCCTGTCCTGTCTGTCTATCCTATCCTGTCCTGTCTGTCTATTCTATCCTGTCCTGTCTGTCTATTCTGTCCTGTCCTGTCTATCCTGTCCTGTCCTGTCTGTCTCTCCTCTCCTGTCCTGTCTGTCTATCCTGTCTTGTCCTGTCTGTCTATCCTATCTATTTTTTACAATTGGTATTCGTTTAGATTCATCCCTCATTTACTGGCATCTTTTATTCAGCGTACATTCACGTTTCCCACAAATGCTTTAGTATGACATAATTCTGTAAATGTTAACGCTTTATGTACCAAACTGGTGTGCATACTGAATCTGTTTTTGCTGCATGTTTTCAGCTAAAACCCTTGTGTACATCGGAGTACTGTAAACAGTCAGAGCACAAGTCAACAGATTTGCTCTCTGTCCTTTCACTTTTGGGATTATCCCCTCCAAAATGTAGTGAACTGAAACTTGAATCTCCAAATTTGTGCAAAATTGTCTTAATTGAGGCTGAAAACAGCATTTTTGGAGAATATTTACATATTCGCTATTACGGTTGGCCTTTATTAACTTTTATTTTGCAGCTGGTTTTCGATTCGCTGCAGTTGGGAGTTTAGTGAATAACCCTTGCGGTTTCCAATTTGTGATCTCTGTCACCCCTTCACTGTGTTGCCCCTTTGTTATCTTTCCATTCTGTGCTCTCGGCCGCTCAGATTCTGCTCGAGACACTCCATAGCAATATCTAGTAAATATTTCAGTACTGTTCTATGTTTTGAACCCCTTTCCAACACACAGACGTAAAAGCTTTTTATCTTGGTAAGTTAATGGTCGCTGCTCTTCCAGGATTTATGTCCTATTTCTACACTCCACACCCTCCCATCCATCCATATCGTTCTGTTTGTGCTGCTGCGGATTTTGTGCTATGGTTGTGTGTGACCCCCTTCTCCTAGTTATGAATAGTGAAGATTGCTTGTTAAGTGGAAAGAGGCGCTGGGCACATTTCATTCCGGCTTCTTTTGTGTGTTTCCTCTCGCTCGGTCTCTGCATGGACACTGCCAACCTCCCATTAGCACCGGAGCCAAATGACTGTCAGCTGGAGCCTCCACTTCCTATTCCTCTGTGCGTTTAATGAGTTTGTATTGTGTTTGGCTATGCGCTTAACCCTTTCCCAGTCGAGGCTCCCTGAGAACTGCAGATCTGGTTATGATTTAGTAAAATGGAGATTTTATTCACTAAAATTGTGAATTACAGAGACTTGATGAGGGAGCTTTACGTTTTAGACCGAAACAACCAAATTGAAAACATTTAGCAATTTTCTCCAGTTCAGCTGTTTTTTGCATCAAATTCCTTTATCGGTGCTGCACGATTCCCAACTTGGTAAATAAATATGTCGGCAAACAGAACTCCCCCTCCCCTATCCTGCATACACAGCCTGGATCACCAACACTACATGTTTTAAAATCCAGGTCCCTCTTTTTTTGTCTGATCCTGAAAGCCTGCGTCCTTTGTACCACTTCCGTAAATTGACCTAATGGTTAGACTCTTATCTCTGAACTTCTGTTTTATGTCCGAAATATTTTTGCTCTTCCCTTTCCTATTCACATCTAAACACACATGGATACCTCCCAACATTTCAAATGAAGAAAGAGGGACACTTTAATTTTAGAGTTGTGACTAGGGGCTGTTCTGAGACATTTTAGGTGACTTACTAATAGGGATGCACCGAAATTTCGGCCAAAAATGGGCCTATCCCATTTCAGCTGAAAATGTAGCAAATCTGCCAAAAATTCCCCCCTTTCCAGGGCTGGTGCTACCATAAGGCGGCCCAAGCCCTGGGGACGCAATGTCAGGTTGAATGGTGAGAGGGAAGCGCACTGCGCTCCCCTCCAGCCGGTTACTTCTTGTAGCAAAGCTGAGCACAGCCTGAGTCTTACCTCCCGCAGAGCCCAGCCTTCTATCGTCTCCTCAGCAGGGGAAAAGGATGCGGCAGTCACGTGACAGGCCCGGGTAGGCTGGCCTTGCGGTAGCCAATCGGAACACATCACTGGGATGTTCCAGGGCAACTTTCTATGGGAAGTGTGTGTGATTTCCATACAGAATGGCTGCCAAGGTATGTGTGCAGTGTATGGGGACAGTTGGATCAGTGGCTGTAACCGACTGGGCTGCAGGCAACCTCACATTAGGCTTCCATCACTGCCCCATAGCAGCAGACCTGACACTGTGTCTGTGAGGAATAGAAAGCATTGGGAGAGAGACACTGTTTAGTTTTGACCTAGGGCCTGGCCTTGTAAATGGGTCATTTGCATCACGGGGGATTTCAGGATAGGGACAACCTGAGGAGACACTGAGTGCCTTGTCTGCCAGTCTGTGGCCAGTAAGGTTGTCTTATTCTGTGCCCACGTTTAGTTTAGTCCTATGCCCCTGCAAGATACTTACACCAATCCACCTTAAAAAAAGAAAGCTTTATCTTTTTATATAGAAAAGATTGGGTTGCTAAATGTGTATTCTCAAGGAGGAATTCTGGGTAAGGTATTGAGGCTGCTGCTGTTCTATTTACAATGAAAAGTGATGCATTGGAGTATGAAGAATTCATATGCTTCATTCTATGACCTGAGTAATACATTCCAGAGGGCAACACTGTCAGTTTGTAGAAGTGCTGTGTCCAGTAAAAGATGGGGGATCTGGCAACCCTTAAAGAAGCTGCACCAGTTACTGACTACTTTAATCAAAGCACTAAGTGCAGCTGTATAGTCCAGTCCCAAATGTTTGGATTTGCCATGAGACATTGTTGATATGATCATGTCCCAATCTCTGTACTCAGCACCATTTGTGCTAAGTTTATGGTTTCTGTATTTGACATTAAGCAGTTAAGTTGCTGCTTCCCCTCCATATGTCAGCGCAACTGATTTGCATTTACCTGATCAGCTGTCTGAATTGACAGTCCTCTTCTTTGTAATCATGATTATGTTGCATCAGGATAATAAGGAATTGTCTTAAATTATCAGAATGAAACAAATCCCTAAAGGGTTCGTTCATTAGGAAGTCTAATATTAATAAAATTATAAAAAAAAAAAAAAAAAAAAAACTATTTTAAAATCATTGTGGAAAAATAGTCTGTTTCGGTTTCTTTTTTTTTTTTTTTTGCCCACGGGCATCCTGAATTTTTGGTTTCGGACCAGAATTATCATTTCGGTGCATCTCTACTTACTAATAACCATTTATGGAACAATGCATGTTATTTACAAAGACTTATTTCTAAACACATTTTTTTATAGTTTAAAGACACAAATCCTGGGAGTTTTATTACTGTGGAGCTCTGGTATACATAATTCAGACATGCCAACAATATGGAGCTCCTAGAAAAGAGGGATATTAGGATAGAAAAGAGGGACAGATGGATTTGGCCCCAAAATAGGAAAAAAACACAATAAGTGTTGGCACTCAATTATGCAAGGTGCAGGTATTCGAGGTTTAACCCCACGACAACCTCCTAATCTAAATCCAAAAACAAATATGAATACCGCACTCAAAAATGATTCTTGTGAAATCTAAACTGTATTGTATTGCAAAAATATTTATTATAATAGTAATTCATAGGTTAATCAAGTAAGCCTTAATGAAATTCATTCCAATCATATATATACACATCGATTATTTACATATATACACACAAAAAACCTCCCTGTGCTGAATTTCATGAACTATATATCTATATACACTGGTTGTAGATCCAAAAAATGCATGAAAATAAATGTCCAGAAAAATATAAAAAATAGCAAAAAAGGGAAAAAAGGCAG